CAAATATGTTCTAATTGTTACATTATTTTTATGAACAAGAGTCTTTTTAGCTCTTTGAGAATATATATCGACTAAAGTCATCATTCCATCAATTTATCATCGATCGGTGCAATTACTATTTTGTTGCACGTATATTCTCATGTCTTATCTTACACAATCAACACGTTCATTTTTGTCTTTTGAAATGTAAAGCTCGACATCATAAAATATCGTAAATCTAATTCTTACCTAACAAAATTTGTATTGTTATTGAGCGCAATATATCATCTTCAATTTCTCATTCCTCTGAACCTGGATTTCTTAAACAATCACATAATGAGCAAGAAAATAAAAGCATGTGTGTGCCACCTTTTTTTTTTTTTTTTTGCATAGAATACATTTTGTAATAGTAAATTGATGAAAAATGTGTTGTTAAAAAATTAAAAAAAAATCGAATTTGCGTGTAATATTATTTTATTAAAGAACGTGTGATTGAGAAGAAGAAGAAGAAAGAGAAAATTGTATTTTGAAAATAATGAGAATCAAACAATTGCTAAATATATCCTTAAAATAAGTAGTCATATAGAAGAGGAAGAAAGAAACTTGAGTATTTGATTAGATGAAAAAGCACAAGGCATTGTTCTGTTTAGCTAAAAAGTATGTATAAAAATTTAAGTTAAAATCAATAATTAATTTTAGTTATTCATTTTATGAGAATCACAACTTTTATATAGTAGTGTTATTTAAAACAAGTCTATGTGCAGCGCAAGTAATATTAAATTACATGTTTAATTAAATATAAGGAATTATGACCCGTCTAATAGAGCATATGATCTGGTTCTAGATAGCATGATTCTAACTTTTATCGACATTTTAAAAATATATTTCATCAATTTTTATCAATATTTACTAAAAGTTTGATTTTTATCTAAAATAAACAGGGATACATAAATCCATGGACTTGATTATTTTATCCCCACAACTCCTCTCATGCTGAAGATATTCCATATGTCTGATATTAAAAACAAAAGAGCCAAAACAAGCTAGAAGAGACTATACTTCTTTAAGGTCCTTCCAATTCCCTGCATATAAATATAAGCATTCTCATATCAACTCAACACAAGTGAGAAAAACAATAATAAGCCCGTAAAAAATAAAAACAAAATGGCCAGGAAGAGAACTTCTTGTGCATTTGATGAGAAAACTTGTGATGATCATGGGAATGTTGCCTGGGATGAGATGGTGAAGCAGACAGCAGCCTCAGGCGGAATCCGTCGAGCCCGAAAGCGATTTGTTGGTGTTAGACAAAGACCATCAGGGCGGTGGGTGGCGGAGATAAAAGACACCATTCAAAAGATAAGGGTGTGGTTAGGCACCTTTGACACGGCGGAGGAGGCTGCAAGAGCCTATGATGAGGCTGCTTGTTTACTCCGTGGAGCAAATACGCGTACAAATTTTTGGCCTATTTCTCCGTCACCTTCATCTACTCCGGCATTGCCATCGAAAATCACTAAGCTGCTTCTTAGCAGGCTAAAGTCTAGAAATAACGCGTTAGCTTCTTCATCGGTTTCTCCTTTCCTGGCTGATGATCAGGCTCGTGATCGTGATGAACAACCAAAACAGCAGCCTGAGGAGTATAGAGACGAAGAAATAGCTGATTTTTCAGCTTCCCAATTCACTGATTTTCTGAATGATCATCCCATTGATGATAGTATGATCACTAGTACTGATTATACATGCTCATCAAGTTTTGAATCCTGCATAACAGAAACTGACAATTTGGAGAAAAACTCGAGCACCTTACTCCAGCAGACTAATGATCAGTACTGCTCGATTGGAGACGATAACATAGAATTAGAAGAAGAAATTCACAATGAAGAAAACCTGAGTCTTGAGGTTGAGGATTTCCAATTCATTGATGAAATAGGATCATTTAACTTTTCCCCCTTTGAGATTGCTGAGGAGATTTCATTGGAGGGTTATGAAAACGAACCAATGATGCTTAATGAGACGATGAAAAGGAACTACGAGAGGAAGTTTTCGGCTTCTCTTTATGCATTCAATGGGATAACTGAATGCCTAAAGTTGAAGCTGAAATCAGAGAATGCTTTACAACATGAGAGATCTGATCAATTGAGCAGACTTCGAAATGCCTGTAAAGCAAATCAAGAAACGATGAAAACGAAAGATGAAGGCTACAAAACTAAGGACGGGAAGGAGAATTCGACTGATCATGAGAGTGAATTGTCACTTTGGAACTCCATTGATCTCCAACCAATATGCTTCGTTAACTAATAGTCTAGTCAGAGTCGACAATTTTAGTTTTTCTCCATTAATATTGTTCAATCTTGTACGGTCCATCCTAATGGACGAGACATTGAAGTTTTAGAGGTTATGTAACCATTCTTTATTCGGAGTTCATCAGCAAGGATAAGTTAGGGATGCTGATAATGGAACATTAAATTTATTTATATAAATTCCTATTGCAGAGAAAAGCCTTTTTTTTTTTTTTTGGTTAATGATGAATTCTTGTTTTTGGAAGATATGCCTATCAATTAATCAGTTTAAATGGAGATTCCAACATTTTAGTTACCAGCATTTCAAAATTGTTAACATATTGATACCCTTTCATTTAACTATTAAAAAATACTCTACTTAAAAAATAAAAAATAAATAAATAAACCTCCTAATCAAGAGATTATCAAATTTGCAGTTATATCCAATGTGTCCAATGCAAAGAAAACCCATTGACTTCAGATACTTGTTGTCAAATAAATGTTCTTAAGGAACTTGTAGTTGATACGTTTGAGATAGAACATCCAACAATCCTATGTGAAATGGATATTGTACAGTCAGAATCAAAGAATGTGAAAAAGAAAAGAATGCGCTGTATATTTAGCTAAACAACCTCTAGGGAGGAGATATTAGCATTATGAGTCTCTTGCTACCAATCCATCACCAATGATACCCTCAATAGAGAAGACCCCAATTCTTAAGTTAAAGCCCTTTGTCATCACATCTACACCATACTTATTTCAAAGAATATGTTTCATTTCCAATAATCAAGAATGGAGGAGAAAAAATTTATTGGAGGTACTAAAGAAGCACAAAATTGCAATTGGATGGACCATAGTTGACATTAGAGGAACCAATCTACTCTTTGCATGCACAAAATCTTAATGGAGGACGTGTCAAATACATTAGTGGGAGGTCACTACAGATTAACTTCAACTTTGAAGGAATTAGTGAAAAAAGAAGTGCTGAAATTGTAAGATGTGAGGATTATCTATCCCATCTTAGATAGTTTTTGGGTAAGTCCACTATATGTGGTGCCTAAGAAATGTGGAATTACATAGAAAAGAATATGAACAATGAGCTGATACCAACACAGTAGTAACTGGGTAGATAGTGTATATCAATTACATAAAGCTGAATAATGCCACAAGAGAATATCACTTTCCATTGTCCTTCATTAATCAAATGTTGGAAAAGTTAGTAGGTCATTCTCATTACTGCTTTCTAAACAGATATTCATGGTACAATCAAATAGTTATTTCTCCAGAAGATTAAGAGAAAACAACATTCACATGTCTATACAATACTTTTGCCTTCAGGAGAATGCTTTTGGTCTATGCAATGCACCTACAATTTTTCAGCAATGTATGATGACCATATTTTTTGACATGGTAGAAAAATAAATTTTAGGTACTTATGGATGACTTTTCTATCTTTGGAGATTCTTTTGATGACTGTTTGGAATATATATCTCTAGTATTACAAAGGTACAAAGAAAGGAATGTGGTCTTAATTGGGAGAAGTCATTTTATGGTGAAAGAAGGAATAGTGCTGGGACATAAGTAATCTTCACAAGGGATTGATGTTGATAAAGACAAAATACAGGTGATTGAAAAACTGCAACCATCAAATTCAGTTATGGGGATCAGTAGCTTTTTGGGGCATGTAGGGTTCTATAAAAGATTTATTTAAGACTTCTCAAAAATCACAAAACCTCTGAGCAGCCTATGGAGAAAGATTTGCCATTTTACTTTTCTAATGAGTGTTTAAATGCCTTTATAACACTTTCAAAGAAAAGTTAACATCTACACCAGTTATAGTGGTATCTTTCGGCTCATGTGTGATGCCAATGATTATATGATAGGAGCAATTTTAGGACAATTAAAAGGAAAGACATTGCATGTCATCTATTATCCCAGCAAAACTTTAACAAATGCTTAAATTGAAAAGGAAATGCTAGTAGTAGTGTTGGCCTTTGATTAATTTCACTCATATCTAATTAGTTCAAAGGTGATGGTTTATACAGACCATCCAGCTTTAAAATATTCGTTCGAGAAAAAGGAAGCCAAACTCAAGTTGATTCGATGGGTTCTGTTACTATAGGAGTTTGATATTAAAATTCATGGTAGAAAAGAGAACAGAAAATCAGGTACAGATCATATATTGAGGCTAGAACAATTGAAAGAATGAGATGGGGTGGATATCAATGATGAACAATCAGTGCAGCTGAAGAAAACACTGTGGTATATAGATATTGTCAACTACTTATCTAGTGGCTATTTGGATCCAAACCTTGAAGAATTTAAACACCAAAAGAAAGTAACTTTTATTGATAAGATAAAATTTTACACAATTTTTTATACACACCAAGATCTCTAACCTCATTTATATTATTTAGAAATGGAGCGCTCTCTTTCACTTGCTACAGTCTCTTTTCACTCTCTTTCTCTACTTATTTTATTTGCTCTCACTCTCTTCACTCTTTTCACCATGCATCCCCTATTTATAGAGGTAAGTTGGTGGTGACAATTCTTCTACACAAAAGTTGATTATTCTAGATAATTCCATTAACTGATTATAAGTCATTTTCCTAGAGAAATCTAGAATGGTGATGGGCAATATCTTCAATGTATTCTCTAGATTTTTCTATGGTTGAGAAGGGATAATAAAGTTGGTGAATCCTAGATGAATCTAGAAAATTCATGCCAAAGTCGGTAATGATTTTTTGAATTCTCCCCTTCAACATCGACCTTTTATTTTAACTTTTTTCATCTTCTTCTCGTCTAGACGTGTTTGAAGTTTGATGACTTTTGAAGCTTTTGATCCTTTACTCAACGCATCCATGACTTTAAATATGTCTCACTTTTTCGCACTCTCGTCTTCTTCGAAAGTTGCGTACTTGATACTTGCTTTCTCATGTCCACCAGATTTTTTTATTTGTGGTTGTAAATTTATACGTACCTTAATATCTTGTTGACTCCTTTGATCCTCCGTACTCCGTGTTGCTCTAATAAACTCTTCTTGATTACTTAGCATTCGTAAATCTTTAGTTTTTCCAGGGCTTCGTTGTGCTTTCATGATTTCCTATTGCAGTTTGTCATCCATTTCCTTTAAACCTAGAAATACACCCTCTTCGGTGTCTACTTCACCTTCTGTGGTGTCTGATCTAGTAGATCCACCCTTTGCTGTGTCTGTGTTTCTTCCAACATTTCTTCTAATTCTAATAGATCCTCCCCCTGCGGAGTCTCCCAAGATGACTCTTTATTAACCACGGTGTCATCTTCTGAGTCATCATTCCAATTATCTTGTCTTGATTCTTTAGTTCAATCATTTTCGTAATTTATTTGCTCAGGCAAGACTACCACCAACGCTGATTAATCCTTTACGCTTGAGTTTAATTTCTTCTCTCGAATCTGCTCAATTGTTACTGTGGTTGCCTCAGCATCTCATTCTTATTCACTATTATATTTTTCTTGTTCATTAGATGTTGTTACATTGCCTTCTACTAACTCCTTTTTTAACCAACAATCTCTAGCATAATGGCCTCGTTTGCCACATACAAAAGACAAGTCATTATTTCTTTGAAATTTCTTAGACGGCTGGCCTCTCTTTTCACGACTTTGTTGAGCTCCTCCTGTCTGGTAACTTCCTTCAATTCGTCCTTCAAATTTACCTTCTTTTAATTCTTTATAATTTTGCTGATGAAATTGACCTATTCTTTTGTAGCTAAATAATGATTTTTCATCTTCTTTCTTTATCAAGACTCCTAACATTTTTCTAGTTAACGCTTCTTGGTCAGCTAACAAATTTTCAAGATTAACTAATGAAGGTTGCTCGGGCCAACCTTGTATTTCGACAATGAAACTTCTAAATTCAGGTCTCAATCCATGTATAATTATTCTTCTCATTCGAGACTCTGAAATCTTACTTGAAGCATCCAACTCAAAATTTAACGTTAAAGATATTTAACTTTATTAAAATATTGACTTAGTATTAATTCTCCTTGGGTAATCGAGAGCAACTCTTTCTCCAACAATTGCAACCTCAAGTCATTTTTTCTCGAGAATAGTGAGTCTCATGCATCTTTTGGTGTAGTCTTGTCTTTTATGTGCTCTAACAACTCTTCTTCGATTGTTGTCTTTATAACAAACAAAGCCTTGCCCGTTTTGATTCTCCATTTATTCAAAGCTCCGGCCTCTTCCGGCGGCATTACATCACTTCCGCCAACTACCTCCCACAGGTCTTGCTTTTGGAGACACGACTCTATGCAAGTTTGTCATGTAGTGTCATTCTGATTATTGAGCTTCTTTACTCCGCCTACCACTTGTAGGTCGCCTATCATGACTTGACTTACCTCCTCGTAATCAAGCAAGCTTTATAAAAGGTTCACATTCTCTTTTTGTGCAGTTTACTAGAAGCTCAAAAAATTTTCCTTGATCGTCTTGCTCTGATACCACTTGAAGAGTTTAAACACCAAAAGAAAGTAATTTTTATTGATAAGATAAAATTTTACACAATTTTTTATACACACCAAGATCACTAACCTCACTTATATTATTTAGAAATGGAGCACTCTCTTTCATTTACTACACTTTTTCATGAAGCTAAATATTATTATTGGGATCATCCAAACTTGTACGAACAGATCAGAAGAATAGGTAACATATCAACCCGTCATTAGACGCCATTAAACAATATTCTAGAGGTAGAAATCTTTGATTTATGGGGTATTGATTTTATAGGAAGTTTTTCATTGTCCTATAACAATCGATACATCTTAATAGTGGCGAATTACATATCAAAATGTGTAGAAGTCAAGGCCTTGCCTTCTAACGATCCAAAGGTAGTGGTGGTAGGCTTTATAAAGAAACATATTTTCAACCACTATGGGTCACCTAGAGCTATAATAAGTGGTGATGAAACTTACTTCTGCAACCGGCTATTCAAGACAATGCTTCCTAGGTATAGGATACAACATTGAATTGTCACACCTTATCACC